CTGTCTCTCTCTCTCCTCTCATCCTTATCTTTTAGAGAGGAGGGGAGGCGATTTCCGATTAATCGGGAATCTTCATTCCGACATGTCCGGATCCTTTTGTTTTGTAAGATATTTCTGCTTGGCAGATGTTTAGCTTCCGATTTAATCGGATTTGGTTTTCTTTTCTCCTTCATAGGAACCGGCTCCTTCTTCCTCAACTATGTTGTGGTGACGAAGCCAAATCTCGGAGGTGTTACTTTCGAATGTCTTGCCTCTTCTTATGGCACTCGTCCCTCCTGGACAGGAGAAGAATATCCCCTTAATGTCCAATGGGCTTTAAATTGTGTTGTAACTGGGCTTTTCGAGATCACTTGTAATGTCCAATGGGCTTTTAACGAAAACAGTTTGACGTCAAAAAAAAATAGTAGGATAATCATAAATCAAAATTAACAAACATTCGAGTGCGAGACTCAATGGCATTATGGTAATTGTTTTCTGTATTACCTTTGACTATATTTTTTTCTTCGTCTTCTGGTGGTTTGTTTTGCTTCTGTGTCCGCTCGGTATCGCTTTGGAGAAGGTAAGATCCGTCTCCATATTCTTCTATAATCTTCGCTTCGATTCCTTCTTCATATTGGGTTACAGATTAGACGAATATATACAGCTTCGATTAATCCCACTTCTCTGGAATTTCATTCGATCCAAACCTTCAATTTTGAAGCAAAAAATTGTAAAACCTTTATCTGTAATCTGGGAGAAACTTTCCTATTTTTCGTCTGCCAATTGATTAAATTTTTCAAAGTTTCCCGTCTTTTAATCTCGGGTTTGCATTTGCAATATCAAATCTGGCTTAAACGTGGGTTAATTTCTTCTTCATCTTTTTGGTTAGCTTTTACAATTGAATTGGTTTTTTGAATGCTACTTTTTAGTGCACTGTGCATTGTGATCCTTGGATGTTCACTTGTTTATTGGTTCTGCGGCATTGAAACATCACAGGCCAGGAAATTGGACATGTACTAAGGACTGAATCACATTTAGATATGCCAAAGCTTGATTCATTTCTCTTTGTTGTGATGTTTTCTGATTTCATATTCCCCTTCTATAGGATATGTTATAGTGATCAGGAACTTTCCCTTCTATATGAATTTTGGAATAAGTGTGGTTATATGCAATGGTTTTACAGGAGAAGTTCCAGAACTGGTGAATTAGAAAAAAAATTGGGTTTGCTACGATGAAGCTCGGTGCTCGGCTTATTGTTCCCATGATTATACTTCTCCTTTCTCTTACAATTGAATTAACAAAAGCAGAAGTCATTACACTGACCCCAGAAACCTTTTCTGACAAGGTCAGGATCTGAAGCTATTCTTTTGCTATATCACGAGAATATATCTTCATTTGTGTGAACTCAATTGTTTTACTGGATCAGTTACATTTAGATTTTTGTTCTGTGCTCCTTTGATGATGCGAATTGCAAACGGGTTAGCGCAACTGTCTTAAGATTGCTTTCTCATAAGTGTAAATTTTGATCTATCTGAGTAGAGATTCTCATTTCAGTTTAGTTTTAGTGTTTTGATGACCTTCTCGCTTAAACTACCCACCAGGAACTAAAATGGTGTTAGGCGATCTTTCTGATGTTTTCATACTCTATAAAAGAGCATCCTCAGATTATTATGTAGCTCTCGTAGATGGGAATTCCTTATCAAATGCAACATTATGCTTTCCTTCTTTGGCTCTGTAGTCTTGTTTTGGAGTTTGGCAATTAGATCAATTTGTTAAATAACAAAGTTCAACCTCAGATGGTTGCATCTCTTGGTGTTGCTTGTACAGAGTGGGATGTTTACTCTCTCCATGTTTATTGGTTCAGGTGAAGGAGAAGGATACTGCGTGGTTTGTAAAATTTTGTGTTCCTTGGTGTAAGCACTGGTTAGTATCTTTGTATCCTGAAATATGTAACTGAGTAACTTGGCTTGTTTGATCACTTGTTGATGAAATTGGATCTGAGTGTCAGCCAGAAATTGGGGAATTTGTGGGAAGAATTGGGAAAAGCAATGGAGGGAGACGATGAAATTGAGATTGGTGAAGTAGATTGTGGTACTAGCAGAGCTGTTTGCACCAAAGTTGAGATTCACTCATATCCAACATTTAAGCTATTTTACAATGGAGAAGAAGTTTCAAAATATCAAGGTAAACTTGCTTTACATGCACCCTTTGGTTGTGAAAGATGAGATTTATTTTCAAATAGCTTAGACACACACACACCATCACATGCATATTTGGATGAACCTGAGTTTTTATATATGGTTGAGTAATACTGTAAATTGATCTTCTTATCTCATACATCCATTTATAAACTCAGGAAAAAGAGACGTTGAATCGCTCAAGACCTTTGTTATAGAGGAAACTGAAAAGGCARCAGAAAAAGCACAGCTTGAAGACAAGGAACTGTGATCACACAACTAAAACTTGATTCATTCCCTTTGGTTTTCAGTTTTTGCTTATGCAGTTATGACTTTCACTATTAGACATTAGTTAGATAGGCGTGGCTTCAACCTTAACTCTTGATCTAGCGTGATGGAGGAAGAGATGTTGGAGAGATCTTCAGCTTTATATGTTTTTCAAACTATACTGTTTTTACAGAAATTTCCAGTTTCCGATTTTCAGTTACAGCGAGGCAAGGACATAAGTGTAGGTAGTCGACATTTCTTGCAAGTTTGTGTTGTATTTTTGTTATACAAGCAGCTGCATGGTGCTTTGAAATTTCATATTTAATGGATTTAAGTAACAATCAAATCAATGAGAAAGTTGTGTAACATAAAAAGAGTAACCTTGAGATAGACTTCGAGTGAGTAATGCATAATGCGACTGTCTTGGGCCCAAAAATAGCATCCTCAATATTTACTTATCACAAGAATAAGTTGGTAACAAAAGGAGAACTAATCTCTCACTACACTTGCGTCTAACAATGGCACAATGAGATGGCGTTTCCTAACAATACACGTTAGACGGGTCAAATGAGTCTAATCGTCAGTTTCGGAATCAACAACTTGTAGGATGTTAAGGGCTGATGAGCCGAGATTCATCCCACGAACAACACCTCCGTATCCCACCTTGATTCTGTGGCACATCAGCAACATGGAGTCCCATAGTGCTGTTCTTCCCTGTTCCATTTTGCCGAGTAAAAATACATCAACCTCCTTTGGATATGTAACAGTTGCATGCATATTATAAAAATGCACTTAATACGTAGAAAGCATTCGTCATCATTACCTGAAGAGTAAACTGCACCTTCTTATCCCAGTACAAGGCAAACGTTGGGGGACTTTGCTTGTCTACAGCAAGCACACATGCACCAGGATGGAGCGTAGAAGGTACACCTGATACCACTGCAATGTACTTCTCTGGGAATCTCTCTTTCGGAGGCAAAACCCCCAAGAATAACGGATTCCTGCTCGCCTGAGTCCCTGTATAAGAGCTGGGGTCCAGATGTAACATCCATTTTGGGTGTTCCAAGAAGGCGCAGAACAAGTACAGAAGCAGATGAGAATCGGTTGGAGGCTCCAGGCTCCATTTCTTGTTTCTCTCACGAGTATCTGCCCTTCCGTTGTATTCATAGTTCTTCACACAAGTCCCTTCCGCGAGCTCTGCCAAAAGCCCAAGAGTCAAGAGAGTCACGATTAATCAACTAATATTTGAAAATTTTCTTTTTAAGTGTTTGATACCTCGGATTCTTTGCACGGTGTAATCTGCTGGAATACTGCTGCGCGGAAGTAGACCCTTGACCCATTCTCCTTTCATTAAGCCCTGAAGCCTCTGATGTTCGCTTATAGCATCAACACATTCCTGCATGACGGGGATTAGCGCCGCTTGCTGCTGCTGTTGTTGTTGCTGGAATTGTTGGTTCTCTGTGCGAAGCTTTTCTGCAGATGGCAGAAGAAACATTTAGCAGCTATATGAAGATCCAAACATTTCGCAACAACACATTGATATCATTGGTTTCTCTCAGATATCCAATCGCTTTACTATTCTCAATTTCAGTGATTTTTTTTACAAAAATAAAAGCTTAAGTTGATCACATAAATTTCAAAACAATAGAACCGCACTTCAACTTAACAAGGACAACCTTTTGACCACATCACTTAGAAGTTTTAGGAAAGTTACTTACGCATGGAAGCATCAATAGCTTGTACAAGGGTAGCGCGCAGTTGATAAAGAAGTGCATCTTCATCGAGAGAGTAAGATGGCTGCCACGCCTTTGTTCGATCAACTGGTAAGGTAGACGTAGCTGTCCCATTTGTTGGCAGATCACTTCCAACTTGACTTACTGTGACATTAACTCCTAGCTTCGATGCTGTTTGCATTACCTGCACACATGAAAAAGTTTAAATAAATGTTCACAGTAACATAAGAAACAAGAAATTCTCCTTCTGCCTCTAATTCGGAAGTGGTCATCAACACATTCATCAACAGAATAACAGTGTTTATTTAGAAAGGACTCCAAACACAAACCTGAATATGGCTGGTTTCAACCTTGTTAAGCAGAGGTTTGAGCAAAACTGAGGAACACCATTGCCTTAGTTTGTCACGCCAGTATTCTATCTGAGGATAAACACCTAGGTGCCCAAAACCTTCGATAGCCGCTTCTAAGGACATTGGGTTGGGGAAATCACCTTCTCCTTTCTTTGGGGGAGTCGTAAACTTCTGAGCACTAGGAGACATCCTGACAGGTCTTAGTGGTGTACTCCTAGTAGTCCCAGATGCACCAGTGGAGCCACCAACTGTATTCGGACTAGCCATGGCAAAACTCCCAACTGTCGGGGGAGGCGTCATCATTTTCCCAGCTGACTCTGTGATTTTTTCATCTATATCTGCCAAAAGCTGCTCAAGCTGCTCTTCTGTAGCAATGTCTTTTGCAGAACTTCGCCTACCAGACCAAGGACTAGAAACAGCCTTATCCTGACCAGACGAAGCACGGTTAGAAGAAACTGGTGAATTAGAAGGGACAAGATACAAAGATGGTGAACCCATTTGCTTGGATGGAGTACTAAATGGACTAATCTGACTCCCACTACGGGAGTTCAGTTTATCACCACCACTAGAAGACTTATTCGCTGAGCCCGTAAGAGTTTGATGTATTGGGACAAGCGGCTCCAACGACTGTGAAGGTTTTGACGCGGAACGACTCTTTGGAGATTCTGACACACCCAGATCAGCTTTTTTCTTTATCCCAAGAAGTTCAAGCTGGCGATTCGATAAAGAGAACTGATCTTTGGTTTCTGTAGAGAAAGATTTAGTTTCTCCTCGAGTAGCAAACGTTGCTCTGTGCAGAGATATGCCTTTGGACAAAGCCATCATTGCTCCAACACAAAACAAAGTCACCAGCCCCTGCCACGCCTTTACAGTGACATCTGAAGCATAAGGTAGATATTAGATAACATTAAGAAACTAAGATACATAAAGGAACCGGAGAAGAATGCAACTCACAAGCTGCCTCTTGGGATATTTTCCCGAATGTTAAAGCATTGGTCAACCATTTCTCCCTGCAACATGAGATAAACAAGCAAAACATTAATCAACGCCGATGCGAGTTTCATCATCGTCATAGATCTTTCCCAGATTGGGATTCATATGAGCATCCTAAATCACAGAGAAAGCAAACGAGAAGACCTAAATTCTAGAAGTTCCCGCAACTACTCTAACAACGCAACTAAGAGACAATGCAATTACTCGAGTAGGAGGACGTTGAAGCTAATGCTCGAACGTACCCAGCCATGAAGGAAATGAGAGAGAAAGCGGAAGCGGTAGAGAGAAAGAATATGAATAAAAGGACGGATTTAGAGGGACGGAGGCTATTGGCGGTGGAAGCGGCGGCGAGAGCAGGGTTCCGGTACACAGAGAACTTGGATGGCTTCGGAGAAGGGGACGAACCCTGAGTGGTGGTCATCTTCCTCCTCGCATCAGAATCCATAGCAGCAAACGAATTGATTTCACGAAAAACCAAAGACAAGATTTTAGGGCTCGTCGAATTTTCCGGCTGCTCTCCGTCACTGGTGTGGACCCACCCTACCTTTTTTTTAAGACCCATCCCTA